CAGACGTGGTAGTGGGGAATCTGAGGCCGGAACCTTGCTGGAAGGAATGGGAAGGCCTGGTGGCTTCCTGAGAAGGAGAAATCATAGAAGAAACATCAAGAAGGAAAAGATTTAGCTTGAAAGACTAGGGAAATACATAAAAGGGCCACAAACCAGCAGGGGACTATAAGAAAAAAGACCTTTTGCCTCTAAGGATACTTCTCAGGTAAGTCAGGTTCTTCTCGTGGTTTTAGAACAAGATTTTTTGTAGTCCCCCCAAAAAAGCTTTAATGATGACCTTGCTATTGGAAGAAATTGCAATCCACCTGAATCTGGGCAGAAATTAATCCATGTGCTCTAGTGATTCCCATGAAAACTCTGGCTCCCTATACTCCCACAAGGACAGAGCCACTCTACTGCATGTGCAGCTCACAGGGAGGGACAGGGAACAGAAGTGTGACATCACAAAATAATAAAGAGATTTGCACAGAGATAACACTGGGTGGCTGCAAAATTAGTGTTGATGCCATAATGTAAGTGCTGCTTATCAGTAAGAAGCTGTCAATGTGGTTAATGTGGGTGTTCAGGCTGAGTGCTAATCACATGGGCTAACCTGAGAAGTATGCCTGATGCTGTTGTACATTTGAGATCCATTAGCTGCATTGGCTGGAGGTTGTAAGTCTTCAGAAGTGATAGTGAAAACCTGTCTGCCACTCTCCTCTCGAGTTGCATAGTGCACAGATCTCCCTTTCCGGTACATGCAGTCATTCCTCTCACAGAATCTGTCCACCTAGCACAGCCAAGCATCCTGTTCTCACTTGCAACCCACCCACAAACACCTGCAAATCAACTGGGCAATCAACTGCAAAATTTCCTCAGTGGCACCTAAAAAATGTTGACAAAGATGAAGTAGCTCACGTCTTGACTGTTGCCTACCATACTGACCAGCATTTACTGTTTGCTTGTACTCTTCCCATCTCATAACTGAATGTCTCTTTTTTTTATACATAGATACTAGATTCTTTGGTATAGGTTTAATATAGTAAGCACAATAAATAACAGTAACATTAACCAATGTATTTAATAGTAAGCCTGTTGATGACCATTTATATTAGTTAGTTCAGTGTTTCTGCTTTGTGTCACAGCTTTTGTTGTATAGAATAATTGATTTTTTTTCCCCATAGGTGTTGATAAAATCAAATAGACACTTTTTCAAGTTTCCCTTCTGGGCTCTGGACTTTGAAATCTATATTGGCACTCAGGTCTCAATAACTTTTTCTCCATTTCTATATTTACAGTACCTTCCTCACTTGTCTTCCTTCAGTTCTCATTCTCATGACTTCCTTTATGGGGATTCTCAGACCTGAAACAGCTCTCTCCCTCCTCTGATTTCGTTTTGCAGAAGCTCTCCCTGCTAAATGAAACAGCAAAATTACAGTCAAAGACAAAATATTTTAAAAATAAAAAACCCTGAAAACTTTTCAGACACTACATGTGATATTTCATCATCACAGAATCATTGAAAACCAGGTTGGAAGAGACCTCAAGGATCAACTGATCTAATCTTTCGTGGCAAAAGCACAGTCAAGACAAAATGGCCCTGCACCTTGTTCAGCTGGATCTTAAAATTGTTCAGTGTTGGGAAAGGTGTCAAACACTTGGGAAGAATCTATATTCGAGTCATAGAGAACATCCATACAGGACACAATAGGTGTGGTATGTAGAGTTGTCTTGATAACAGATGAGAAAGATCACATAATACAGTGCTGCTGCAGCTGGAGTCCCACCATCTGCTACACCTCAGCTGATAAATTCTGTGTCTTAGCTTCATATGAGCTTGAACAGACTGTTTCCATTTCCAAATCTACTACCACTCACAACTAATTTGGTGTTTCCACTCCTTCACTGGTGCAGCACAGACACAGCCGTAGTTCGGTCTCCATCCTGTAAAGTCTTAGGTATGTATTTACCTAGATATAAAGGTATGCAATGTTTTATCTCTTCTAATTTTGTTATGGTAATGGCCATGTTTTTGAAAGCTCTTAATCCTGAAGTTGAGTGATCATGTGAGAGTTCCATTTTTCACTTGAAGATAAACTCTTTAACCTTTAAAGAAGAATGTTCAAAAATCTGAATTCATAGAGAGAGAACTCACCTTTTCTTGTTCTTATTTTTTTCCTGATTTTTCACCCATTCTAATGATTTTTGAATATTCTGTTTGAATGACTTACAATTCGAGTTAGCTCTACTAAAACTCTTTGTTGCTTGAAGCAGACTGAATTTTAATTCGTAGATTCATTACAAAGATCACATTTATTCACACATTCTTAGCATAGGCATAAATTGAAAAAGTGTACCCCAAATTCTCAAGAAATGTTATAGCTGGTCTCTTTTTTTCTATCCAAGCCACCATATGATTTTGAAATTCGAATGGACAAGTTGTTTTTTGATGACAATCATCTTTTCACTTCAAAAAGAACTTTATTTTTAGAGATTCATAAAGCATAGCTAGCTTTTAGCTAGAGGTTTTTAAGCTTTATGCACACTGTGGTTCCAGTCTGGATTACAAGTGCCAAAATGCCACAAAAAAAGACTATTCCCTCAATACTTTTGGCTTAGTGAGATACAGAAAGTGACGGAAATTTGGTAAGAAAAAAACCATAGTGAGAATTCCCACTAAGAGTTTAGATCAAAAAGGCTGATTAAGCACTGGAGGTTTTGGGAAGATTTTCAGATGGAACTGATGTTATACATCAGCTGAATTTTGCTGATCGATTTGGTAAACTGATTGAATATTGTCTCATATACAATCAATTTGAATGTTCTGGGAAGGCTTCATATATATTTAGAAACAGATAGCCTAAAGTCTAAACGTGCCCTTGGTAACTGTTGGATCCCAAAATATAATATCTTCAGAGAGAGATTTGAGTGGTCTTTCCAAAAAGCTCTGGGCTATGGAAGTTGGGAAAAACCCTCTGCATTGACCTCATCCCTGTGGATTTTTCCTGCCTTCTCCAGCAGGATGTGAAAAGACTCTTTGCATGATGCTGCCACATCATGCCCTGCCCAAACCAGAGAGTCCGCACCCTGATCTCATCAAACCTGTGCAGAAGACCTTTTGTGCTTTATCTCTCCCTTTGTGTTCCCTGAATCCTGGCATTCTGTAAACCCAAATACCTTTTTTCCCTTGTAATTCCCCCAAGAAAAAATGGGTTTTCCCCTCTGATGTATGTGTAAGACCCCAAATTTGTTAACCTGGATTTTTCCCTTATGTCATCTCCTGAAACCCCCTGTTTGTAATAATTGTAATATTTACAACCCCCTGTTGAATATGTAGATCCTAAACCCTCTAAATATGAATTTGTGAGTCCAATAAAGCATTCCAGTTTTCTGCCTCCGCTGGGATCCTCGTAGTTATTGACTCATTACAGGTAACTATTGCTGTTGGGTAAATATGAAAACACAGAAAATGTGTATGTTGATGACTGACCCCTGCCATTGCCATCACTGTTAGCTACTCATTTGTTTATCTTATGTAAGAAGCTCCTACAATTACACAGGAGACTGACAACAGTTTGAGAGGTTTCCCGTGCAGGGAAGGAGCTCCAGGCTCTTTCTGGGGCTCTTGAGGAGGCAAAGGCTGCCATAGTGGTCAGATTTCACTCTGCCTGCCATAGCATAGGATCTAGGGGTATGATTTTGCCACATGTTCTATGGCAGGGCACAAAGAAGCAACCCTTAATACCAAAACACTACCTTTAACAGAGTCATGGGATGGAAGAAAAGCGGGTACCACAAGAAGTGAAGGAATAGGGTTAAATGCCAAATGACCCTAAAATTCACCAGTTCTGTGTTGTTTCTCCATGTAAGTTGTTTGGGGTTCGCTGATGACTCGGAGCAGTAGCAATTATGAGTATCAGGAAGACATTCTGCATGTCTTGGGAACAACAATTGCAATACGTTTGAGATGACTCATTTCTTTACCTTGGCCCTGATTTTGTAGGTTTTCTTTACCAAACATGTCTGAATACTCAAAAATGCACTCAAAGGGTTTTTTCATGCAGCAGCTCCAATCAGAGTTTGTGAGTTTGCAACACGAGTTACTCATGTAAGGCATGCAATGCACAGTGAATATGAGATAACCTCCTCCATGTCAAAACTAAGGTGTGAACTTACTGATGCTTTTCGGAAATGGAGTAAATTACTTCACACATTGCTAGCTAAGAGAATTTCCAAAAAGAGTTAGTGTGGAGTAGTTTATGAGCTTTAAATTCACACCTCAATTTTTACTCTTTATGGCAACTTTTAATGCAGAGAAGCATTAAGTCATTTTAATTCTGGAAGTCTTAGTTCAAAAAGCGATCAAGGTTTTAAAAAAATGAAGTGTAACATTCTTGTATTTTCTTCTACAATTCCACTTCTCCATAAACACACTTTTCAGTTAGTTCTGATACAAAGTAAAAGACAGAACGAAAACATATACTCAAGACGAGACATTTCTCTTGAAAAATACACTTAGTCTTAATGTGGTGTGTTGACATAGGTTACAGACAGTGGAAATATGAAGAAATTTTAGGGTTAATATACTAATAGTACTGAAAATCTTATGCGACTTTTTATAGTTTAGGTCTTGCATCTTGCCTGACATCTTGCTTGGCTTCTGTCATTCCAGATGCACAAGGATTTTTAAAGCAGGAAGCTTGCTCAGGGCTTTATCCAGTCTGGTTTTGATACCCTCCAAGGATGGCAACTGCACAAAATCATCTGCAAAGAAGCAGATTTTTAGCAGCATTTTTAATTGGTTTTTTTTTTTCAAATTCACACTTCATTTAAAGTGCTCATGGATGTGGACTGCTAGTGAACTTGCCAACCTTTTTGATATAGAATGTGCTGAATCACAGGAAAAGTGAGGAAACTTACTTACAGAAGGTGTCCTGGGCTAGAAAGTTTGAATAATATTAAACTAGGTAAAACAAGACTCTTTTGGAGTCCTCAAAGGATCAACAAGAAGATAGCTTCATACTTTCCACAAGGTCTTGATACAAAAATAATATATCCAAAATTCTAGGATTTTCACCTAGTAATAATCTATCTGTAAAAACTAATTTCTATAGACACAGACTCCAATTAAAGATCAGTCAATTACATAGAGTTCAGTGACTCTAAGCAGAAAATAAAAAATAAAAAAATGTAAAAAATGTTACCTTGAATTTACTTCTTTCAATTGCAGTGCTTTATTAGACTGCTCTAGGTATGAATTCTTTCAAATATGATCACATACAGCGCACAATTTGAAGTGTTTATCTGAATATTGATCAACTGGTATTCTTTTTAAAAAACATTCTTTGCCAGTTCATCTTTGTTACTTGATACCTTATTTTTCCAAGTGCTGAGCACCTGCAGCTGCCAGTGGCTTCACATGCAGTAACCACAGTTACCCAGGAAATCAGGTCAGAGCACGCTTGTACTCACATGTCAAGGCCACAATTTTCAGTGGAAAACCATACATTTTGTAGACTACGGAATTTTTTATTTTGCTACACCTTCTGCTAAGAGGTGTCTATTTGTCCACAGCAGATGTTGGAGCCCTATCCTTTTAAGCTGCCAACATCCTAGGTCTGTTCCCAAGCATATCTATTTAGAGAGTCAGGGTTGTCATGCTGGAAAGTACCTAAAAAAGAGGGGTCTGGTACAGGACCTAGACCAAGCTCCCCCTTTATTCCCTTCTGTAAGCCAATAGCAAGAAAAAATAAATTATGAACAGATGCTTGCTTCAGTCCTGCTCTGGTTTCTGGCCAGACAGACTATCTGAGAAGGTGTAATACAAGCAGCTGCTGCTTTCTAAGGGTGCAGACATTTATTCACAGGAACAAGAGGAATGAGATTAAAAAGGTAAAAGAATTAGGACTCTGAAAAGTACAATTTCTTACATCTGTCTACAAGGTGACAAAACTTTTCACATCTCCATATGAAGAGACACTATTTACAAATCCGTACTTGTGATACATAATCTGAGGCATTTGGACAAATCAGGGTAATGCAAAAAGGTCTTTGTTTCAGTGACTTCGGAGGGCATAAATGGAGATTAGGAAAATAATTATGCACTGTAAAGGAGTATATGGCACTAATCGAGATTATAAAAAGTTAACTACGTCTGGGGCTAAAAAATGGTGTTATCCCAAATTCTCATTAATAGCATCCAATTACTGTCTGTGGTTACGTAACTGTTCATCTCACTATGTGGCCACTTACTGCTGAAGTCTGTTACTGCTCAGCATAAATTGCAGAGAGCACAGTGTGCAAAGGCACTAATGGAATTTACTTTGCATCTTGCAGTATAAGGATAAACAAACGTATTCTGAAGCAAAACTGCAAATTGGGGGGAGAGGTTATTCCAAGCAAATTTTTTTACTTTTGTGTGTTTTAAAATTAGTTCAGCTGTGGGTTTTTTAGGGAATTTTGTTTGATTGGTTTGGGCATTTTTTTGGTAGTAAAAATCTGTGATTGTTATGGGATATAAAATAAAGTAAGTGTTTTCTGTTTTAATTATGTAATTAAAAAGTGTACACTATCACATAAAACATACCATTAGTTTTAGTGAATTTTTTTTCCCCTGAATGCTATACAAATATTTTAGATCTCAAAGTGCCCATCATTAGGCACTGAGAAGTCTGTGTGTGGGCACTGAATGAAGAAAATGTCAATGAGCCTCTACTGATAAGAATAAGCACAGATAAAGTAGACAGAAAGATCTGTGAGTCAGTAAATACTGCAAACAACAATCATAGCAGGTCAGGCAATTACCAGAAGAAGAAAAAAACACTGATAAGACCAGCAAATAAAATGTGATCCCCTCATAAGCCAGGGACATGAGAGGGAATGATAGCAGACTAAATCTGGGGTTCACAGGACATTAGTGTTACTGAATGGAGGGCCGACTATTGCTGTTGCATCAAATCTAACAAAGCCTGTTTGTACAGCAAATTACCTATTTCCTTTGTAGAAGGGAAAACACCGAGTAGTAAAGCTACAGTGAGAACGAAGAAAGCAAAATCAATGACCAAAACATGAGAGAACTGCAAACTGAAACAATAAACAAAAGAGCTGTGAAAGACAAAAGCCATAGACTGAAGCGGCAAGAGAAAAAGGAATAGGCTGCAATGATTTCTGAGAGGATGGTTTTTCGTTTTCTTCATGGTTAATGGTGAGACTTCATTGACGTCTGCTGGAGCAGGATCAGGTTTCTTAAGATGGAAACAAAAATGTCTGGAAAAGGAAAAAAAGCAGAACAAGTATTGAAAGGATTCAATGTGGAAAAATTCCAATAAATACTAATTCTTGCCCCATTATAAGCACAGTTTCTGCCTATGGTGGAACAGAGATTTCGATTTGCTGATATCCACTGAAAAGTAATAATTTAGTCACTACAGGTTTTTTGTCATAAAGAACAAAACATCCAACAACTCATTCTCACAATAATAACATTTCTTAATCCTCAGCATCTGTGGTCTCAAACTAGACAGCTGATCCTCAGCTCCTTTGGAAGTGTTTGGAAAACACTCTTCCAAGAATGTAGTACATAAAAATAATCCTAAGGAAATGGACATTACAGTATAATGGTGGTATCTGCTGGTATTGAGCTTAACTTCTGGAATTGTGCTCGTGAGGAAAAGAAATGCCTCCTGCTTTACATAAATGAGTGTATATCATGAGTACAGTATATATCTATGTACAGAGAGTCAAATTGTTATTTCTGGAAACAACCCAGACATTATTTTATTCAAGGTACTTGTTTGACTAGCCCTGACAAAGTCATAACACAGTTTTCTGGGATAAAAGCATTATTCTAAAATCAGAATTAAGCCTTGTAAATTAGCTAATATTCTGCTTTACCCAGCAGATCTCCACTGCATAAGTTTAATCTTTTTCATTAGATATTCAATATGTTTCTTTTCAAACACATATTAGCTTAACAAGGATCTATGTTATAAGCCATATTAACCCCGTGTTTGCAAACAGCTTTTATCAATATTATTTCTGAAAGAATGACAAAATCAATAGAAGAAAGTGAGACAGTAGAATTAATATATTTAAATATATAATGTATCTATACTTAAATTTTAGAAAGACCTTTAAAGAGTGGCTTGTATAAAAGGATTTTGATAGATTAAAGCCATAAGTGAGGGATATCAATATGTGTAAATGTATCAGAATAGTGTAAGAGGTTAACCGGAAGAGAAGAAATTTCTTAATAAAACTATTACAATTAAAATTAAAAATTACAGGTTTGTAGTTTCAAGAAAAACAGTTTCAAATATATGTATATGTATATGTAAGAAAAGGGAGATATCTGTGAAGACAGACATTTGTGACAAGACTGAGTAACAATTCCAATATAAATATTTAATGTAATATAGGGATAAAATAAACAGGTACATATTGCTCAGTTTCTTGAACAATTTTAAAACTCAGTGCCAGCGGTACAAAGGCAAGAAATGTCACAGAAAAATATATATAACATGATCAAAGGCTCAAAAAAGATAATCAATGTGTAATTCCAACTGACATGTTCAGGGTAAAACTTGAAAGAAAGAGAATGTTTCTCATATGAATTTCCTCCAGCTTTACCTTCTTAAGATCTGAGATATTTCCAGAAGAAAAGTAAAATTAGCAGGAGTAAGGAGATAGACTACTTTAGTACAGAGACTAACCATGTGGATATCAAATACACATTTTGAGCACCTGAAGCTAATAATGGACCCCAAATTCACTTATTGCTTCCCTTATCTTCTGCACATAACAGGCCAGGATGATTTGTAGATGCTCCATCTGAAGCACTACAGGTTCCATCATGGTAGTGTCTCCTTGGCCAGAGACCCTGACACTCCCAGCTATGGGATGCCACAGGGGCGACTGAAGGTACAAAGGGTTTCTCCTCTCTTTCCCAAAAATGCAGCTGATGGCTTGAATAGTGGTGAAAGCACTTTCCTTTGAGACACAATCTGCATGTTTAATGCTTTCTGAGGAGGAAACCGAACTTCGATCTAATTTGTGAGCTGGCGAACTCTAGAGTCTGATAGAAAAGGTGAACACTGTTGTCTTCTGCTTTAACCTAAAGAAAGGACGATGTAGAAAGAGGCAGCCTGTTTCTGCAAATGTGCTCTTGACATACTGGAAAGAAACCTCTTAGCTTAAATCTCAGAGTACATTCAAGCAAAAGAATGTCTACTTCTTGGGTTCCAGTCATACTTAGAAGAAAAATAAGTAATAAAATGACTACATAGACTTCATCTGGTCTGAGCACCCACAGAAGTACAAGCCTATGTGCTTAGGGATTTTAAGATGGAACAGGGAGTTCCTTATTGAATTTAGGCTCCACAAAGGTTAAATAGTGGCTGAATGGATTTAGATCATTTGTATCTACTTAACTGTTGTCTTAGGTGCCTAAATCCTTTCCTGGACGTGGCCCAGGAGAGAGCAGAGCATTGTGCTGTTAAGTGCTCTGCTTTTACAGAAAATCAATGCTGAACTCCCATATTTTCATTTAGAAGATCCTCCCCCAGTGTTTGTATAGCTTACCATTATACAACTAATTGGACACATTATAAATGCTTAAAGATGTTGAAGGGCTTTAACAAGGAGGAAAATGCCATTATTTAGTCTAGTACAAGAGCATGAAAATAAGAAGAAAATTCCTGTGCATAGGAATTATTGAGAATTAACTGTATTCTGATGACAAACAGTCTCCTTACTAAAATGGCAGAAACTTCAGCATTTCTACTATTTAAAAAAAGAATAAATATATCACTGCTAAGTAGAAGAAACATGATATTACTGGGTGGCTGATGTAGTTGTCATCTCTTCCCCTAATTGATGTCACTTGATGGAATCAGCTCTCTTTTCCATTTTGAATATGTGATTTTGGAGCAATTAGTTATTATCAGAGAAACCTGTGGGAACATGACCTTGCACAGGGCTGCTGTTTCTTGCCAACAACTTCTAATTATCAGGTTTTGCTCATTTGATCTAGGATGGTAAGTCCCAGGCTGGGACCTTCTGAAGATAATATTTTCCTCAGAAGTAAATAAAATAATGACCATAGAACTAAGTAAGCTTTTTGTAAAACAGTGATAAAGCCTACTAGACAATCAATAGCACAAATACTTTAAAAGGGAATATCCATTATCCTGTCCATAAGATCCAAGGGAGAGGAAACCTGGAACTTCAATGCTCTTCAGAAACACTTCTTCATACCTTGGGAAGGTTTTACAGTATGCACGTTGACCAAAAAGTCCTGAACTGATCTTCACTCAGAAACTCAGGGTCAGTGCTGCATCCCATGAAAAGCAAATCACTGAGGTCTGGTTCACTGTAGAATCTAATTTTCTTTATTTCTCTCAAAGGAAGGATTAGAAGGGGCTTCCGGATTGGGGATTCTGACTCCCTAGAACACATGTGACAACTGGGGAGAAGGACTTGGGGGTGTCAACGTGTCTCAGCAATGTGCACTCACAGCCCCGAAAGCCAACCATATCCTGGGCATCAAAAGGAGTGTGGCCAGAAGGTCAAGGGAGCTGATTCTGCCCCTCTGCTCTCATGAGACCCTACCTGGAGTGCTGCATCCAGCTCTGGGATCTCCAACATAAGAAGAACATATACCTGTTGGAGTAAGTCCAGAGGAGGCCACAAAGATGAGCAGGGTGCTGCAGCACCTCTCCGGATTGTTTGAGAGAGTTGGAGCTGTTCAAGCTGGAGAAGAGAAGGCTCCTTGGAGCACATTCCGGTACCTAAAGGGGGCCTAAAGAAATCTGGAGAGGGACTGTTGTCAAGAGTATGTGGTGATTGGAGACAGGAGAGAATGAGTTTAGGTTTAGAGAATGAGAGTAGGTTTAGACTAGATATTAGACGTGAATTCTTCAGTCACAGGGTAATGAGGCATTGGAACAGGTTGTCCATAGAAGCTGTGAATGCCCCACCCCTGGAAGTGTTCAAGGCCAGGCTGAATGGTCCTCTGACTAACCTGGCCTAGTGGAATGCGTCCCTGTCCATGGAAGGGGGGTTGGAATAAGATGATTTTTAAGGTCTCTGTGGTGGTGTATCCTCTCACCCACATGCTGTGCCATGATCTGACCCTTCCAACCCAAACTATTCTGGTTCTGTGAAACATAGGACAGAAGAACTATCATGCAAGGGAAAGTCACTCACCTCTGGTGAGTGACTCTTCTTCATACATACTCTTCTTCAGGGTAGCTTCTTTAGTTGTGGAAGTTATCCTTTGACTGGTTTGTCCAGCAAAGCAAATAAATTTTAGAAAAATAAATTAATATATTTAGTTACAAACACTAACAAAAATTTAAGGAAACACAACTGACAAATATTATATACAAAGTTGGTTAACCTATTTCACTCAAAATATCTTCCTTTAAAAAAAGTTTTTATTTAAAAAAGAGTTTTATAAGTTATTCATGTGATCAAGACTTTTCAACTTCACTTTTTTCTGCATTTTTTCAACACAATTTACATATTTTTAAAATTTTTATTTATTAAACCCTTGTCTTTTTACTGAAATACATGGATTTTCATTAAATGAAAACTAAAAATGTGAAATCTATATTGATAAAGTATAAAATGGAAAAAAAATGGGAAATAAGTCAATCTTGAACTCTGTTAAATGGAGAGAGCTTTAAAATGTCAGAACACCAGATGCATTTTGACAGGTGAATGCAGTTAACCATATCAATAGTGAAAAGTTCATTGAATAGAGTTCCAAAGATATTAACAAGTAAAAGAAACATAAACCTATTTTTCTCTTAATTTGTCTTTTTTCAAGCCAAATTTACCTTTTTCTTGCATCTCGACTTAGTAGTTTTGAATGCTTCAAGATGGGTGAGCTGTAATCAGTTTGCATTTAAGATGTAGAGTTCACTGTGACTCTCATAATAAATTATTTCAATAAAAATTGCTTCCCTTTCCAGAAGATCTTAGGAACCTGGCCAATATAAGCCTACACAGGAGCATTCGAAAGTCTCTATTCTCATCACATCAAAGGCTTTAAAAAACATTGAATAATACTAGTAAAAAATGTCAATTCTCTGTCCTTGTACGTCTATTATATTAATGGTTTACTAAGTAGTATAAAGGATGATATTTTCTTTGTAGAGCCTACTAAGGGACATCAGAATCACTTCCTGAAGGCAATACACATTCACTTTCAGACAGGAAGCATTTTCCTTGAAAGATGCTATATTAATTTTTCAAGAAATTACCAAGCTTTTAGAAAAAAAAAAATTAAAATTATCTCCAGGGTTTGGACAGCCTTTTTAACAAGGGTATCTGAATGACTCCTTATTTTTTAAATACTTTTATTTTACTAACAGGAAATAGAGACTCACAGAAACATAACTGGCCTTTAGCTTCACTCTCTGCAGACTGCGGAGACCATGTCTGTCAAATCCAAAGCCAGGATCTTAAGAGGACAGGACACAGCTGCTCAAGTGGCAGGGTGCACAGCAGCACAATCGCTCCCCCCACATTCTTCGTTGTTTGCTCTACTGGAAAATTTTAGGTGTAATAGCTGCATCTTCCTCCCCCGCACAACACCATCTTTCTTCTTCTAAAGGCAGTGGTTATCCTGAGCAGTCTCCTGCTCCTTAGAGGCAGAAGAGCATTTGACACAAAGGTGAACAGCTGACCGTACAGTAAATACCCAAGTTATATTAAAAGGAATGAGCACAGCCTGTTTCTTGTCTTCATCATGTTTCTTTTTCATTAGTAATTAGGAATCCCTACAGTGTTGTTTTCTGCTCTGCCATGCCATCAAGAAATAAAGATTTCCCAACAAAATACTAGATGGCAAATATCTGGTGTAACTAACTTTACATTATCCCTCCTTCATTCTTAAAACACAATGAAACAGATCGAGCTGTTTCAGAGGCACTAGAGCATCTGTGGCTGCAAAACATGCGCTCAGGTACTTCTGCGCTCAGAGGCCCAGGGCAGTTGGAGTTAGAACATTAACTTCCTCCTGGACAACAATCTATGTCTTCAGAAGACTATTATCATCATAAGCACATGACATGTTCATGCTTCCTTATTGCTGAAAAAATCTAATTCCTAATCAGTTTTGAATATATTACATAAACTTACATGAACTCTGGCCAGTCTCAGGGCTTTGTGCTCACTATATCATCACACATCTCATGACAGATATAAGATTCTGCCTAAAATAGACATTATCTGAACTACTGCCCTATGAAGAAACCAAACATCTTGAGGTTTGTACCTATATACATGTTTTGTTGGGTTTTTTTAAAGGCTACAAATAATTAATTCTATGTTAGTGATAATCAAGACCATTGAATGATTATTCATTATCTGTCAGAACTAGTAAAATAAAAATGGCCATTACTATAATCAGTAAATTATTAATTATATCCCTCATCAATCACCAAGCAAACTATTCATCATTTGTCCCTGTTCCATAAATTTTCTGTACATAATAGTCATCAAACAAAAAAAGAATCAAGATCTCTTTCTAACAATCTCAGCTAAATTATCTATAAATATTTGTTTAATTAACCAACTCTATTACCTGTCATGTCTCCCAGCAGATGTTAAGTATTCCCCCGTCTCCTTTCCTAAGCAAATTAATATCAGTTAATATCAAGTTATACTTTTTTTTCCTGTGTGCCACAGTTACATGATTTTAATCTCACTTTCTTACCTGAGGTTAGGTAGTGGATCAGAGCAGATGACCTCCAGTTACATATCTTTATCGTTATCCAAATAAACTTTCTCCAGCCATGAGCAAAGAATATTTTTTGTTCTCTCCTTAGTTATCTTCCAGCTTCATTCAAATTAAATAGTGTTTCTATAGTGTTTGTATACTTACCTTGCAATGCGAAAAAAAGCTGGAAACCTACTCTGTTTAATTACTTTCTATCTGATGGGTTATTAACTTTCTCTGCTCAAAGGTGTTTAAAAGGTGTTTTCCAACCAGTAGCATAGTCATCTTATATGCGGATCTTTCAAGAGAACATCCTAAACTCTGTTTTCAAGTCTAAGACAACCAGGGCTGGGTCGAGTTAGCTCAGGATATTCTGTGCTGTGTTTCCAACTCCTAACCCTGGCAGCACCTCTTTCCCTTACTGGATTTATAAAGGCAGAAAGATTTCACCATTTCCCATAAATATGTGGTTATTTTTATTCCTTCTAAAAGAATATGAGATCTTTTTTGAGGAACTGGGAGAAGAAACAAGTGTTTCTAGTTCCAACACTTTCCCCAAGCAACTACAACAGCTCAGGAGTTCAAGGAAACAGGAAGAGAGTTGATGAGACATTTCCTGTTCTTGAAACACAGCGGAGAGGACCCTCAAATGGGCTGGTAATAGCAGGGGTCCCCCACTGCCTTAGTCACATTTCTTAAGTAGCATCATTGGTTTAAATCTACATAACTTGGCATTCCTCCTAAAAGAGAAAGTTTTGTCCTCCGTCACCTCTTTATCTAGGTTGATTTTAACCTGAACTGTGAGTACATGAACACTTGTTCTGGCATACGGGAGTAGGTGGCACAGGAGCAAAACAAGATGACAGAGATGGGAAATGGTGGATTTTTAGGAAGCATATATAATTAGAGCCAGCTTCTGAAGCCGTGGTGTTAAACTCAGAACCCCAAGGCAGTGTTGCCCTGGAATCATCTCTCTTACAGGTACTATGTAAAATGTCAAAAAACTCAATAACTAAGCTTTATTTAGCTATCACAAGAAAGAAATATTTATGCTGATTTATGAAGGATGAGACAATTAAGTACTGTTAGATAGTTCCAAAATCTGATGACTGTGCAAAAAATCTAAAATTGCTTTGCCTTAATGCAAAACTGTATATTATAAAGACACTGTTTTAATGATTTGACTGGAATCACTTATCATAGAAACACATAATCATTAAGGCTGGAAAAAACTCTAAGATCATTGAGTCCAACCAACCCTGAAACTGTTATGTTACAGTGTCAATACAGAGTCATAGATTTCTACCTTCTTCTTCACTTTTATGGGGGGGTGTACACTTATGTATCATAGGCCACTGACTTTTTTTGGTGTCTTTCTAAAGATCAATTCAGCTTTCATGTGGTTGCATTTCCAAAGTATTATTTTTCAACAAAAATTAAAGAATTGTGCCAGGTATCAAATAATAAAAAGTGGCACAGCAGTGTTGAAATCAGCACATCTGTGATCTTTTATTTCAGAAAATGATGCGCTTTATAAAATTGTTCTTTAAATATCTTGTGACATTTAGGGATTTAATGTAGAAAGAAATGGATTTTCTGTCAAATTGAGTGGTCATAGAAAAGAAGAAAACATGAATAATGCTTATAATCCCTTTATATCCCTAAATCAGTCACAGTTTTCAATTGATGTCATATTCTTGGATGTTTCAGCAATATCTGACACCACTGAATAACACTGAATTGCTTAGAATTTACGCCAGGCTGATACAAAAAGTCACTTAATTTATTTACCTGCCCACGTACGTGATGTTCCTTTTGGCAATTTTTATTCTTTTTTCCCCCCATATTCTTTTCATGTATCCAGGGAATTACCATTTTGTCTATTGTTATCCAGTGTTTTTGTACTTCCTCTGTGTGAAATACTCTAATTGCACAGTGTGGATTTCACTTACTCAATTGCCCCATTTCATGATCAAATTTGAAGTCTATTTATTTTGCCTACATTTTTAATCTAATGCTAGCTAATATTTAACTGTACAGGTCAGGTATAGGTAGAACGTTCCTGTTTAAGTTGTGTCACTATGACAAAGTTCTGACGATAGTTAGGGAATATTCATTTATAAGGAGTGTCACTTTGATATTTACCACAGTATCTTCATAGTGGTTAGTGTGATTTAGCTGAACAGCTCCTTGTGAGCTCTTAGTGTTCTATTTGAGTATCTGATCCATTTCTTTGAGAATACAACATGATTAATGCCACAGAACAGCATTTCCATAGGCTTAAATGTCTTTACATAGCAATATGCAACAATATCTTACAAATAATTTTCAAGCTCTTACCTGTTTAAATACCAAAGGATTTGAGAAATAAACTTTTAAAATGGAGGAGAAAATATTTTCTAATTTGCTCTATGATAATGTGAATCAAAAACCAAGGCAGTATTGGCACATAGAGAAGAAATCTGGGTCATACATAAATACATGGCAACAAGTATCTGAGAATTTTAACTTATGCTCATCCAAGTAAATGGTAGAAATAACCTGGCTATCCCTATCAACTTGCTGGCTTTCTTCCTTTGAAAATTTACACAATGAGAATAATGACAGGAAATCTAGAATGTGCACATCCTACAGAGCAGTACCCTTTTTCTTGCTGCCATTTCATAGAATCATAGAATATCCTGAGTTGGAAGGGACCCACAAAGATCATAGAATTCAACTTCTGGCCCTGCACAGGACAGCCCCAAGGATCATACCATGTGCCCGAGAGCATTGGCCAAACACTTCTTGACCTCTGGCAGGCTTGGTGCTGTGAGTGCTTCCAGTACTGAGCCACTCTATGGGTGAAGAACCTGAATCTATTCACCAGAAAAGATATCAGAAATAGTGAAGTCAGCAGGACTAGGGCAGTGATTGTCCCTCTGTACTCAGAACTGGTGAGACCACACCTCAAATCCTGTGTTAAGCTTTGGGCCCCCTCTCCCAGAAGGGCATTGAACTGCTAGAGCATGTCCAGAAAAAGGCAAAAAAGCTGGTGAAGGGTCTGGAGCACAAATCTCGTGAGGAGCAGCTGAGAGAACTGGAGATGTTTAGCCTGGAGAGAAAAGAGGCTTGGGGAGCCTCATCTATCTCCACAACTACCTGAAAGGAGTTTGCAGCAGGTGAAGATCAGCTTCTTCTCCCAGGTAACAATAGGACAAGAAGAAATGGACTTAACTTGCTTCAGAAGAGATTAAGATTGGATATTGAGAAAAATGTCTTCACTAAAGGGACTGTCAGGCATTGGAAACTGTTGCCCGGAGAAGTGGTTGAGTTGCCATCCCTGGAGGTATTTAAAGGACATGTGGATGTGGCACTTAGGGACATGACTGAGTGGTGGACTTGGCAGGTTAACAGTTGGACTCTATGATCTTAAAGGCTTTTTCCAACCCAAATAATTCTGTGATCCTAAGATCAATATGAAATTCAAATTCTTTACATTTGATATTCACTATTGCTTATTTCTAATACCTTTTTTTGGTAAGTGGCTGAACTAGCAATAGTCTTGCTTTAAAGTTTAGATCCTATGGACTTCATTACAAAGTGTTAAGTTATCACTGCTTGGTTTCTTTTTAGATTCCTGGGTACGTGCCATTTAAGAATGTAAACACCCAGCAGACATCATGTAAACATGCAAGGATTTTAGTCAACACACTGGCATTTCTCTCACATTAGCAAGGACAACAGAGACAATTACAAGCTCCAGGTGTTTAGATCTTTTAAAATCTGTGACACATATGCAGGAAAACTATGTTTCTCTTTAAATAAACATTTTCTATTAGAGCTTTCTTACCCAGACTTGCATAGCACATTTATTTCCCTGGGTCATTTTCCATTTTACAGCAAATAGATTATAGACACAGCATAGCAATCTGACAGCAGCTTTTCCCTCCGTCAATAGTATTTCTATTTAGAGATGAGGATTCAAAATCAGTATTGAAGGTACAGGCTTTCTCAGGGGAGTCAGTGTACCTGGACATAACTCCACACCTTTGCTAGTCTAATAAGGCTGAGTTCAAAAT